AGAGTCCTTGGTTAGGGCAAAGTCCATTTGAACAACTTTTACAGAGTTTAAATCTGTGCTCCACAAGGGGTACCTTACAACGTCCCACAACACATCTCCGTCCTGTATTGTAAACATTTCCCGATAATAATACCAGTTTTAATGATTTTATCATTAAAAGATGTTTCTAATACATAACGGGAATGTGTTGTGGGACATTGTAAGACTCTCCCGAGACTCAGATGTAAACTCACTTTTACAATCAAATATCTCTATGTATTTTATTTTATGGATAAATATTCCCAACGCAAAGATTATATGGCTGTTGGAATGGTGTGAGCACGAGCTTATCCTGACCCAAGCCGAATTGGAAAACAAAAGTGATAAACTCACATGTTTTAATAATCTTGGAATTTAAATGAAAGTAAAAATTTTTGGCCTCTATTTTTAATGCTTACGGGCGCTGTAACGGCTAATCCGTTTAATTTGCTTAGGTTGAAAGAGAGGAATTTCAGTCATGACAGTAGAAAATCCAGATTCATCAATATTACGGTCTAAGTCGGTAGAGTGTTTATAAGCGTGCTCAAGATTGCTTAAGTTGTAATCGTTGACAATGGTGTGACGTTTGGTAAAACTGAATGGTTGTACATTTGGGCTCTGAATGGTTACAACGTACAAACTGAATGGTTGTACGTTGAGAATCGTTGACAATGGTGTTTATAAGCAAAAAATATATGATTGTACATTTGGGCTCTGAATGGTTAGAATTTACTCTTTTGCTTTTGGATAAAAGACATAAATGTTTTTGTCATATAGAAATCTAAGTGAGGTGATTTTTCAAACAAAAAAAGTTATTGAACACCTCTTCTTAATAAGCTAAAAAACAAAGAAATAAAAAGGAAAAAAAAGCCTTGAATAGGCTTCAGTTGGGATTTTGTTAAAACTTGAGTAAGCCCGGCCAAAAGCATGGATCCGAAATAGTGTAAATTAAGGCCTTGGATAGACTTTTATAAAGTATGCCCGTACTTTTAAAAGTATGAAAGTACGAAAAACACATATAGCGTTTGTTTCATATTGCTTTCATATATTTCTGAAAGTATGATAAATATCGAAAGCACAAAATCGACTTTTCATATTTCGTGTTTTTGGTAAAATAGTGTTTTCGTTTTTTTGCAAACGATGAGTCACGTGTGGTCACCCTTCGATAAAACTCTTGACCCTAACTTTGCTCATCACTACTAGAGTCAAATCACTGTCGCTGGTCTTAGACCATGAAACCATTGAAAACCATCGCCAAAAGTATGAACATACATGCTTCACCAGAGAAAATGGTACTTCTATCTTGGAAAATATATTTTTCAAAATTTTTTACCCAAAGAATTTTCAAAATAAAAATATCAAAGTAAAAGGTATTTTATATGCTTTATAATTTTCAAAAGTATAAAAGTAGAGTAAAGAGCATATGGAGCTAACAAATAAACTTTGGAGTCGTTTGGCAAAATTTTTTTGACATCTTTTGGAAGCTCTGACATTCAAAAGATGATGTGAGCTTTTGCATTAAGATCTTAGCAGCTTAAAGACCATTTGGTTAAGGTGTGTCTTTCTATGCAAAGACGAGTTGGAAAAAAAAAAGACAAAAAGCTCCATTTGAAACTTCGTGAAAATAGCCTGAAATGGGTTTTCCCCGTCTTTTCGGGATTGTGGCTTTCGGCGATTAGACATTTTCCCAACCAAATGGGAAAAGCGCACCAAACTGGGCCTTTTCTAAGAAGTAAGATGCAAGGTTGCACTAATTCAGTACCTGAAAATTCAATAATGGTTCATTTGGTTGTCGAGAAAGGATGGGATGGAAAGAGAATATTTATTTTTTCAGTCTTGTCGCCTTGTGTTTGGTTGTTGAGAACAAGGTTTCAATGGCCAGACTTTGAACCTTCGCCAAAGAACAGGGTTTTAGTAGTAGAACTTTGAACCTTTGTTGGAGAACAAGGCTTCAGTGGTCGAACTTAGAACCTTTATCGGAGAACAAGGTTTTAGTGGTTGGACTTTGAAGTTTGAACCTTCGTCGAAGAACAAGGTTTCAATGGTTGGACTTCGAACTTTTGTTGGAGAACAAAGTTTGAATGGTCGGACTTCAAACCTTTGTTAGAGAACTAGGTTTTAGTGGTCGTACTTCAATCCTTCGCTGGAGAACAATGTTTCAATGGCTGGACTTCGAACCTCTGTTGAAGAACAAGAAAACGATAACCTATGTCCTTGCCTTTTAGGGATCTAAACTCAACTTGAGGGAGGAAGGGAATGAGATTTTCATTGCACCTCTTTCATTTCTCAATGGGGTACTTATTTGGTGAGACCCCGCATCCCAGATTTTGAGAAAGAAATTCTTGTCACATCCCAAATATGTCACCCAAAACAAACATTCATCTCAGTCACATGTAGGGTTGTACACGGGTCGATTTGGTTCGATTTCACTTACTTTTCTCAACCTAACCAACACAATCGGATTGATTATTTAGTCAACCGAAACCGACCCATAAAAATGTAAAACCGTTAAGCCAATTTTGAATTTTTCGATCGGTTTAATTGATTAACCAAATGAAAGTGTATCATTTTGTATTTCACAGTCAAATGTCAAATCTTTCATTTGTTATTACATGGGTCCCATTAGAGGTAAAACTTTAGGTTTTTTATTGTTCAGTCCACCCCAAAAATTTGAGCCCCACCGTACAGGTGGGATGAATCCTGATAGTGAATCAATGCCAAATGCATAACCAAGATGGGTTTATAGAGGGCTATTAATAGACTAGGAGGGGCTGTAATTTCACATTTATGAGGTGAATTGTAGTCTATTTATCCCTAAAACTTTTCACTTTAATACTAAAAACTGTCTTGTAAGAACTTTATTTGTTAAAATTGACAAAGCCTAAGATGCGAGACCCTAGGTAGTAGGACTTGAGTTTTTTTTATTTTTTTTCATTTTTTTGAAATTGAAAATTGAGAAATTAAAAGTGGGAGAAAAGAATGAAGAGATAAAATATTGGGCGGCTGAATATTTTTACATATAAAATAAATCAAAGCATAAAAAAAGTCTAAATTAAAAAATAATAACAAAACTACATTTTCCTCTATCCCATTAATACAACAGATAGATGCAAAAATAACCGGTCGGATCGGTTTTTGTTTTGTTTATAACACAATAATCCGTAATTAAACCGAACTATCAGATTCTATTATTTTTCATTCTGAACATGAATTATTTTGAGGACCGACCTAATTGGGTCGAATCGGACAGGTTTGGTCGGTTTCTACTATTTTGTGAACATCCCTAATCGCATGAACCAAACGGACCATAATGGATGCTTTGAGTCCTTTTACTTTAATGGACGCATGAAAAAATAATGGCTGACATATCATTTTGGGAGAATGACCAATGAGCTCAGATCAAAATTTTATAGTTCCAAAATAAGGGGGAATGCATCCTGACCGTGAATCGATGTTAAATTCACGGGAAGGATGTGGTTTATGGGAGGAGAGGGCTAGAGCAGTAGGGGGGGGGCCTGGAATTCAGAATTCAGCATCGTGTGTATCCGTATTTGTCCGTATTATTTTATAAATAAAAATGAAAAGAAAAAGATGTCAAAATTGCGTAAGCATGGCATAAGCTGGTTGGTTGGTAGCATTCCCAATATAATAGGTCAAGAATAGTTTGTTAAGAATATATTATTTATCTAATACTAATCGGCCGAATAGCAACGTGTCATAAACAGAACGGGGACCCAGGTGTCGCTGTATTAAATGCTATGTGACACATTCGACGAAACCAGGCACATGTCAAATGGCCATAGTACATTCTTACTCTTATGTGAATATGCTGACTATGTTAGCTAGTCTGCATAGGAATTGAGAACTGGGAAAGGCCATAAATTATTATTTGATTCTCTTTTGTTTTGGCTTCATCCTCCTCTCTCAAATCTCAATACTCTTCTTTACTTGCCCACAACCGACACCGCCATTCCTACAATCCTACCGATACATATCTAAACTCAGTGATCTCCTCCCGATAAAAATAAATAAATAAAACCGTTGCTCTTCTCTGAGAGTGAGAGTGAGAGTGAGAGTGGACTCCTTCTTATAACTTGTCAATTGTCCTTATCTTTATCCATCATTGAAATTGAATTGAACGAGCCTCGACTAATTAAAAATGTTACTTCATTTGAAATTATATATGCGTGTGAATCATATTTATCTATTATCTATCTTAGCTTGCGTTAGAGTTGTATTACCATTACATATCATGCATATAGAACCAAGATATATAACCTATTTGGGAGGATTTATTCTTTTGGAGTGTTTTGTTTTAATTTAATTGAGCTGCCGTGGTTGAACACCTTGTTTCAGAAAAGCTACTTGGAGTAAATCCTCTCAAATGGGCACTAATTAGATATATATCATTGATCCGACGTAGATTTTGCCTTAATAATGAAGACGCCCACTTAATTGGGTGGTCTTGAATCTTTAATCAACTACTCGTCACACTCTCACGGACACTGTCAGTAGCCATGCTGGCGCTAAGCCTTCAGGCTTTATGAAAATTAATTTCCAACCCTTTTACATTGAATTTGAAACAGATCAATGGAGCATATAATTAGTAACAAATTAAAGCATTATGAATAGCTCTTTCAGTTTAAGAAAACATTTCCCACCTCTTAATGCATTAATTAAATTTCCCCAAAATTTTGGTTTTCTCATATTATGCTTTACCAAGCTAGAACAGCATAATGAGTTGTTGAGATGCTGAGTTGGAGATTAATCAAACGAGAAAAAATAAATAAAACCTTTGTCCTCAAACCAGTTGTGTTTCTCTTTGAAGAAAAAAGCATTGAAGACTATCACTTTATTCTGCAATTCATTGAATAAACAGAATCCACGAAACTAACGAGATAAAAAAAAAAAAAATGGAACAAATGAAACAGAAATTGATCGGAGGTGTGGGAAGGCCGGACTACTGAGTATTACACCATGCGAGATTTATGAAGTGACCTCTTTTCTTCTTCGATCCCCAACTACGTAGGAGGACGTAGGAAGGGGCCAGAAAGGAGTTAATTTTATTTGATAATAATGAAGAAGTAATTACACTTGAGCAAAAGAAGAAGAAGAAAAAAAAAAAAGGAACTGACGATATAAATTAAACCATCCGAATGGAATAAAAATGGTGTCGTCACTTACTACTTATTCTGTAGTAGACTAGTAGTAGTGCATACGAGTAGCGCAAAGGGTTAATTTGGACTTTGGAGGGATGCATCAGAGCCACAACATATGGTATTGTTGGAGAAGAGCGCTACACATTCAATCCATCCAAGTTGCATCGCTCCAATTATAATAATGACACAATTCCGAAGAATTCTCTGCCACTGTCCCCGACCAAACCTGCGTCCCAAAGTTAATCAACTCCGGCAACTCAATTTCAGCCCAGAAGTCGTCGCCATCGCCATCGCTGTCCGATTTCTCGTTATTGGTGTTGGTTTTCTTGCTCCCAGACATTATGGCTGCAGCTGCAGCTGCCGCTGCCGCTGCTGTCTGGATATCTCTAGCCGTGCACGTGGATGGGCGGGGGAGTAATTCGACTTCCTCCGGGAAATTGAGAAGCGCTTTATGTCCCCTGAGGCAATAAGCAGCGACGTCGTAAGCCCTGGCGGCCATCTCCGGGGTGGGGAAGGAGCCCAGCCATATCCTAGACTTCTTCCGAGGCTCTCGGATTTCGGACACCCATTTCCCCCACCGGCGTTTTCTGACGCCCCGGTATACCGGGTGTCTGGTACCCCCGGACTTGATGTCAGATTTGGGGAGGTTGAGTCCGGTGTCGGGCGATGGTGTGGTGGAATCTTCTTCTGGATACGAAGGGTTCTCCATGTAAAAAGGAAAAAAAATCCAGGGGAGGAACAGAACACAGGCTTTAGTCGGTGCAGTTCGAAAGATTTATAACTTATAAGACGTTGGAGTCGGAAGTATTTTACGATAATGCCCTTCAACGGAGAAAAGGTAAGATCTTTAGCCTTTGGATGGGTACGGTAAGATCTGATTGTTGTGTGGGTTTCATGATGCTCAAATTCTAGACGTACAAATCTGGTTGGAGGGAAGGGTTATACAGGAACACAAACTTCTTCCATCATGATGCAACTGCAACTATATATAAGACAGGAGGGGTTTGGTAGGATTCATGGTATTAAAATTGCTAGGGAGGCTCCTTCTATCTTATCTCCCACCTCTTGTTTGTTGATGATTATTTATTTATCTATTAGAGCTTCTTGTGAAGAAGTTCGTAACCTTTTGGATTCTATAGAAAATTCTAGAGCCTTTCGGGTCAAGTTATCAGAAGTCTAGGATTTATTTTAGTAATAATATTCATCACAAGTGTAGGAAGCTCCTCTCTAGGCAATTGACAATGGATAAACTTTAGGTATCCCTCTTTTTTGGAATAAAAATATAAATGCTTCGTTTGCCTATTTACTGGATAAATTTCAATCAAAGCCGAATGGGTGAAAAGCATCAAATTTATCTCAAGCTAGTTTTTTGAAATCGGCTCTTCAATTCATCCCTAATTATGCTATGTCTGTTGTGGCTCTTCCAAATTAAATGGTTTGAATGAGAAAATTGACAAAGTTTAGAGGAAATTTGGGAAATAATAATAGAGGGCTTAGTTGGACAAATTGGAATCAAATCCGTTCACCTAGATCTTATGGTGGTGTAGGGAGTAGGAAGGCAAGAGAAATGAATGAGGCTTTTTAGTTAGATTTGGTTTGGACTTTTCTCAATAATGATCATAGACTCTGGGTTAGGTTATTGAAAAGAAAAGAATGCCCACCCTCAGTGTGTTTTTCCAACTAAGTTGAAGTCTAATTGTTCGAATTGGTTGTTCAAGGTCTCTTTAAATTTTGTGAATTGAATGTTTGGAATGTTCCTTGGATTTGTGTGGATAATTACTCTACTGCACCCATTAGCCCGGTGACAAGGCAAGCTAGGAATATCTCTATCTCTTTTAATGATCTTAGGTAATTAATTGGAATGTAGATGCTATCATTCAGTTGCTTGGTGAGAATTGGGTCACTTATGTTTTCAATGTCCATGTGTTTAGAAGTATCCAAGGTGATAGGTTCGATTGGAGGTTAGCCAAAGATGGTTCCTTGATTGTTAAGAATGCCTCTGTAAAAGAAAAGTTAATTAATAAAGGAAACTTGGAAGTTAAGAATTGCTCCTAGGTATAAGCTATTTCCATGGAGAGTAATCTGAATTTTTGTTTATGTTGCTTCTTTTGTCCTTGAGTTTTTTGTGATAATTCAATAGAGTGTTTTACATTTGTTCTTCAAATGCCCGGTGGAAAAAGCTCTTTGGTCTTCCTATCCCTGGTGTATGAGAATTGAGAGTTTTAATCACACTGACCCTGCTGATATTATTATTGATATTCAGGAGTAATGTTATTTTTATTTTCAGTTGGTCGTTTGTTATCTACAATTACTGACTAGTGTGGCTTTTTAAGAGTTCCTTAAGCCTTGTAGTCTCTCTGATAGCCCAAGTGGCTAGCATCGTTCTTAGGGTGCCTTTAAAATTTGTTCCACCTTCTTTTTATATCTTTTGTGACGGTCGGTTTATTGATCCTAAATAAAGGTTCTTATGGCTTTGTTTGCTATAATTCTGATGGGACTTGAGAGTTCTTTTGCTTCTTCAGGGGGGGGGGGAGTGTGCAGCTAGTGAAGGACCTGTTCAAATGGAATTATGGGCTATTTGGAAATCTCTGATGTTTGCTTGAGAAAAAAGGCTTTTTGATGAAGGCTTTATCTTTTGCCTGTGGCAAGAGCGCCTTTGAACTCTGAATCTGATGTTCTCTAGGAGGGGGTTCCACTTCCTCCTCCAGCTTTGTTTTATTTATCTCGTCCAGTCCAACCCACATATACAACAACAAACCCTCTCCCTAGTTAAAGAATGAGCAGTGACGACGAGCAGGGAGCCAAGCCCATCTGAATTTAGACATATTTTGGTTTGATTCAACTAGGTTTTATTTATGAATGCATTTTGATTGGTAAGTACCACAGATTTTTCAATCAAATAATTCTGACTCAAGTTTGAATCTCGTTTAATCTCAATTAGTTATTTCATATTTGATTTCGAGCTCAACTAATAATAAATTTGAATCAAAAGCTCGCTAGTCTGGTTTGATTAATATATACTAAAACACATATCATATGTTTATAATTTATAAAATATATTCATTTCCAAACTTTCAAGCTGAATTCAAGTTCATTGATTATTCAGTCAAATTGAACTTGTAACCTAATAGTATTCGTCGAAGGGAATTCGATTAGAATTTAAGCGGTTGTTTGGCATTGTTATCGTTTCTGGAATAAAGGCGTCATATCAGAAAAAACAGTGTTCTAGGAAATAGGTATTTGTTTGGAACCGCTTTTTCATAAAAAATAGTGTTTCGAGCCATGCCTCTAAAATCGAGAAGCCATAGCTTGGAGCAATGCCAAATTTGGTGTTTTCTGGAGCTACAACTCGTTGTTGCCAACAGGGCAGTGATGTGGCCATGGTTTTTAAAAACAAATCGGTGACCGAACCGGTCAGGGGTCCAGTTACTGGTTCGAATGGTCGGCCCATTTTGATGAAAAAATAAAATATTTTAAAAAATTGGAAAACGGTTCGAATGGTTAACCAGTCGGTTCAGTGGTTTGCTGACCAAAATCAACGGTTTTGGGGGAAGAAGTGGTTTTGGAGGAAAATAGAACCGGTGATTGGTTCTCGGTTTTTCTGATCCAACCATCCGGTCCAGTCTGGTTTTGAAAACAGTGGATGTGGCACTGGATAATGGGTATCAATGCTGAAAACGTTTCTTGGAGCATTGGTACCAAACAGAAAAAGTTGTTGTTGCTCAAAGAAACGTCTTACCTGACAGCAACGATTGCAAATAAAAATAAAGACATCATTTTTTGAGAAAACATTTTCTAAGAAAATGGTGTTTCCAACTACACATCAGCAGCAAATACAGCATCAATGCCAAACATATACTAATTGGGTTGCACCGTATGATAATAGGGAGGAAAACATGTGACACATGGCAGATATATAGGTGGCAACAGTAACTTCATTTCGAATTCAAATCAGCCCCCCACTAGATAGTTTCCCACAGTATCTCACAATACATCCCCGCAATGTATTAGAAATATCTCCCGGTGATAATATCAGAAATGATGAGGCATCATTAAGAGATGTTCCGAATACATGGCAGGATGTGCTGTGGGAAACTATCTTGTGTGGAGCTGATTTCAACTCCTTAATTTCTTCTCATTTCTTTGACTTAAAAGAAAAAATCTTCTCATTTCTCAAATCAAACTACCAATAATTCCGCCGTAACCCCTTGGTTTCCATGAAAAAATAATAATTTGCAAAAATTTTGTATCAGCTTATCAAAATTTTGCAAAAATAAAATAAATAAATAAATAATAAAACCCTGAAGTTGGGACATAAGCACATATGCATCATATCATTGAATGAAATGACAAACCTCTTAGACCAAAAAGCGACATATTAGTTTTATTTTTTTATTTTATAAAGACCTAGGCATAGGATCTGTCTCCTTAAAGGCTAAAACATTTAGAAATGCATCAATATTTTGATTCCGAATCTGCTGCCTAGTTAAAAAAAAAAAAATCAAAGTTCTCTCCTCAATCAAACCGATTTTTCTTTATATTTTCAGTTTTATACAGTCAACTTTCATTATAAACGCATTGGGGAGACAAGATTTACTCATTATAGAGAGCACTTTACACTGACTTCATATGTACATCCTACCATACATTGGAAATATTTCCCATGAATAATAATTCATAAATATGGAAGATATTCATATGCCTGTGAGATTGTGAGGCCTGTACGAGGAGCAGATCCGGTCTGTGCATTGGGCTCCAAGTACTTACAGTTACTGGGCCGATAACAAGGCACCACGTCAGTTCTTTGTGTGAGTCTGACTTGTCAGGCTTAGTATTGCTATTATATATCTGAGCATTTTAACACAGCGTACACATGTTTATAACTTCATCATGGACCCTTTATGTGCTTACTTTTTTTTTTTTTTCTTTTTGCATAAACTGGTTATCTAGGGTTGCCTTATAATATTAAATGTAGAATTGAATCTTGTCCATTGGATTCAGATTGATTTTTGGATATTGAATCCCTTTAATGAATTGAATTAAAAATGATAAAAACATTATATATCATTAATAATTGAAGTAAAGAATAAAGACTTTTGAAAAAAAAAAACAACGGAACTGATCAGATAGCCGGTTCTCAGTCTTTCTGATCCAACCGTCCGCTCTTATCGAACAAGTAGGTGCTGGATTCCTATACTCTCTTATTCCATATATATTTGTTTATTATTTGAGGCCTACATAATCATGCATTGACAGAACAGTAGTTTTCTATTTGCACATGGCAACTGTTGCTGTGGTATAGCTAGGTTGCTAGGCAGCACATAGATCGTCGGTGCAACTTGCAAAGGGAAGTAGGAAAAGTGGAAAACCTCCCTTTTGATTGTTGGAATGAAAAATAATTAAGCTAATTTATTATTAGGGAAAATTACAAGAACCCCTCCTGTACTATCGGGCCAGTGATAAAGGCTCCTTTATAGTTTCTTTTGTGATAAATACCCCGGAACTTTGGCCATTAGACAAAGACCTCCCCTCCATTAATATTCAGTCAGTTAATTTCAAAATAAAAATATTCATCTAACTATTTAAAATTTTCTAAATACTTAAATTACCCTTTTCTAAGTTATTTTAGAAAAGGGTACCGTCAATAATCTTTCATTCTTAAACGGGGAATGACAAGCGGAAGAACTCAATAGAGCAATTTGTAGTGAATGAGTAGAATTTTGGGTCCTGAACTCATATCGTAC